AGTATAAGTCATTATAATCAGTAATTATGTCCCCACTGGATGCAACAAATGCCTCATTTGTAATGGGTTTTATTGGTTTTGTCTCGTCCTGCTGGGAGACGGCATCACAGTATGGTAGGGGCGTAACATTTTCGTCACACGCTTGAGGCATTTGGCCAATCACAACGCACTGGATAGCTGGCCAATCAGAGCACACCTCACTTTTTTAGAACGATGAGCATTGTAAAAATCGACGCGTTTCAGAAAGGCGGGGCATAGAGGAGAAACAATAATGTACATTATATGGAAAATAATGTGTTTTTTTAAACTTAAAGCGCATAAACACATTGCATTACACCAAATACACAAAATAATGTTCTTTTTAGCAACGTCATATGACCCCTTTAAGCAAAATTCACTTTTATTTCTTTTTCATTATTTATTTATTTATTTATTTGTGAAATACTGTATGACCCAGACAGGTTTTATGAGATTCCTTTTTACATTTTGTTTGTATCGCTCTAGAATGTTACCTTCTAAGTAAACCAAAAAAAGTCATACCCACCCTCCTCACACATGCAGTCATCATAACACTTGTTGTTTAGGCCGCGATTGTGAGGTTTGCACTCATGTTCTCGCAGGTCACAACAGGAACCTGGTCGTAGCACAACAAGATAAACCACAAATGTAAACACTGGCAAGTATTTTATAGTATTTCTTACTAATACATATCATATTAAATAAACAGTTCACTGAAAAAAGACAAGTAAATTCTGTCATCATTTACTCATCCTCATATCATTCTAACCCAATATGGCCTTTTCTACTGTGAAACAGAAAGTGTATTTTGGGAAAAAGAAAGAAAGAAAGAAAGAAAGACCACTCTTTTCTATAGAAGGGCTATATTATAGTGTTTTATTGTTCCAACAAACTTTTGCAAACATCATCGTAATGTGCATGTTGTGGTTGAAAATATACTGTACAGCTAACTCGTGGTTAGAAGCATATGACTTAGGGCTGCACGATTAATTGAATGCGATTGTCATGCGCATTTTGTTAGTAAAGCCGGTTCTGTAATCAGCAGTAAATCATCACGTGCTTTCAGATGGAGCAGCATTTACTACACAGAGCCGTAGTTCACTTACAAGTTACGCAAAAAAATCGCAGACGATTTTATTGCACGATTGTGAAATCGAAGAAATCGTTCGTGATAATGACAGCTGTTTGCATAGCTTCTCAGTGAACTACGTACGGCTCTGTTTAATAAATGCTGCTCCATCTGAAAGCATGTGAAAATACCACATTTAATAACATGTTTTTACTCCAAACTCACTTCATAACGTCAGTCGAGTGTTTGAAATAAATCCTTCTGTGAGATGATGTGGCTTCTTAAACAGAATAAGGCACGCAACATATTTCATAGTATTCTAAGCAGTGATAAAGGCATTGTATATAAATATACAAGTATATAAATATACTTTATTTTAATGAAAATTATAATAATAATAATAACTCAGATAAACCATATATTGTCATAATCGTGTGTTTATTAGTCACGTTGAATTAATAAAAGCAGTTAAATCTTCTGTTTATCCAGCTACCACTATAGGCATTTCCTGGGTTTCTTCTGCGAGGTGTAGGCTATTTGGAGTTTCAGCGCGAGAGCGCCCTCTGGCCTATGGATGGAGATTTACTGCTGATCACAGAACCGTGCT